GGCCTAAGACAACGAAGTTTAATAATTAATTACTCGTTAACTATTTCGAAATTGGCAAAATGGTACAGGACTTTTTCGTTCATCTCGATCCGTTCTACCTTCTCAAAAATTTTGTCGGATATGGAAAGACTCACTCTGTATAATAAATTACTCTATTACGTCTCGTCCATCCATATTTATTTGTAACATGTACACGCACCGGCATAAATGCTGTCCCTATCCTTGTGAGGTGCATGCACACAACTAGAGTCCCTGTAGTTGTGTGCGTGCACCTCACAAGGATAGGGACAGCATTTATGCCGGTGCGTGTACATTACTGTTTGTAACAAGTTTGACGCAAGCAGAAACAGTTGCGACAAAATTATCTACAGATATTAATAAACACAAAATTTAAAGACACTTTTTCTTCCGCGCTTAGAAGTTTCTCGCATTTCGCGAAATGTCTTCATGACGATTTATTCAAAGAGAGAAAGCTTCACTTACCGATCCGTAAAGTCCGCCGCAAGGATCCATGCAGAGATAAAGGCAGGTCGCGATGCCTTGGATTGTTAATTGTCCGTCCTTCCCCACCGATTTCCTTTGAAAGATGGCTGAAAAAGACATAGAGACGACAATTAGCGTCGACCATGGGAGCATTCTTTTCCCCATAAGTGCGTTCATTGTGACGCTGTCTCGCATGGATTTTAATACGAATATAAACTGTCGAATCCAACGGTATATAATCAGGCGAGCGGGAAACAGGTTCTACAAATGTTTTAATCAGTGTATTCGAGCCTTGTCGCTTATTATTGAGGCCTTTTTTTCCCCCTAATGATACAATCTCGGGCGCGATGAATACGTATTTTCAACCGCGTATTAATCGTAATTTATGACACTTATCTCGCGCGTCAATGTTCATGGGGCCACTCGTGTCCGCGGCTTTGATGAATGAAGCCGTAACGCAACGTTGCAATTCGCGGCCGCGAGGGAAACGTGCAACGCGCGGACGGAATCGGCATTTATACCGCCGATAAAGCTTGTCGCCGATCGGAGAAATTACGCGACAGTGTAATACCCGAGGCCTGTCTTTAGCGTCCATTTGGCGCGACGTCGCGTACTATGTTTCGATCCCATTGCGAGCGGATATGTCCCGCGTAATGCCCTAAAAACGACACGCCCGGTAAATGGGATGCGTTATCGGGAATAGCGATCGATTCCCCCGCCCCTCTTCCCCCCCCTCATTTCAAATCTGCTCCCTGGGAAGAGATGCGGAGCGCGTCGAGCTCGAATGCTAGCGGCCGGCCGCGGTTCCGTGTCGGGGTATACGGCGCTTAGTGTAATCATCTTTAATCTCTCGTAGCTTCCCCTGTAGATACCGGTACGCGTAGGGCGCGTATTAAAGACGTGCGTGACACGATCCGGCATCGTAAAGCGAACGCGATCGCTCGCGCGCGCGCGCGCACACGGAGCGCAGGGCCCCCCGGTAAATGAAATGAGTTATCAGGAACGAGCCCGAGGTCGATTTTCCCCCTTTTTCCTTTTGGTTCCGGGATTTCTCCCCGGGAGGAAAGCTCTCGCGCCGGGGTGTCCGGGCTCATAAAGGCAACCGACCGGCTGATCCCGCGCGTACCGGACTCCCGGTACTGAGTTACGTGCTTACACAGTGTAATCATTTTAATTTCTCAATAGTTGCCGGGGCACGCCGGCACGTACGGCAGCGCGTACGCATTAAAGACGTGCGTGACAATCCCGCATCGCAAAACGAACGCGCGATCCGCGGAATATATATATATATATCTCGTCTCTTCCGCCCTGGACACGAACCGCGGCGCGAGCGCTAAATACAGGGTGTTGAACCGCGGTAATTCATTGCTTGCTCTTTTAATCCCTCGCGCCGGGGTATTCGCGAAATAATAAGACGAGTGCGCGGCGCGGGGTGCGTGTACGCGTGGTAAAAAGCCGCGTAATTAAGGCGCAGCGCGAGTGGAATCGCGGGTTTCGCGTACGAGTTGTCGCGCTGCCCGCGTGTCGTCGTTGGCTAAGAGGCTCGCTCTCGACCGCAGAAACGCATGAATTTATAATAGCAGGTCTCGCGCGGGGAGAGAGAAAGAGAGAAAAATGTTAACAGATGTACTCCCGAGATGTATACAAAGCAGGTTTGCGTTAATGCACGCATAAATCGTTCATTAATCTTCTTGTTCCTGTAAACTGCTATATGCGTATAAAGTAATTGCGTAAAAATTCAACATTGATAAAGTCTTGATTCATTTTTACGAAGACACGGTACGTGTTACGTCGAATTAAAAGATATAAAGATTAACGATAGAGATTAAGCAAATTTTAAATTATAACCGTTTTCCTTCCATTGCCGTGCATTTATTCCTTGATAAAAATAGCATTGCAATCCGTGGAATCACATTTTTGACATAGTTCATGGTATTTTCTTTTTCTATTTCGATTCTAATCTGTGTTGCAATATTTTGGAAAATAATCAATATTATATCTTACGATTCTTAAATCAGTTAGTTAAAGAACCTGAATCAATTTATAGATACTCGAGGCAGAGTTTGAGTGGCGTAGTACGCGTTAAAAGAGGATGATTTTACCAGATTTAAGATATTATATTAATAATAGAAGTTCAATCGCACATTCTTCATTTTTTGTGTGCATGCTATGTAACGAATATCTAATTATTACGTATTTCGATCTCTATCAACGTATCTAGCATCTATTCCGTGGTATTTAGCTGCTTGCATTTTAAAAAGCCAACGTTTAAATTTAACTTGAATCGATAAGAAATCGCGCAGGTTCATTTTATGGGCGATTGAATGGAATCTGACTGGTGAGAGTGTCTCTGCCATATTTACTTCTCGCACCCAACGTGTTGCTGTCAGCGCGATTAAACACGCCGTTGCACCGCGAAGATGCATCGGCGTGCTAGTCACATCATTTATTCCAACGGTTTGTGCACGAAGACGTAAATATCTCGTACACATCTGCGTTTCTTTTTGCGAACGGACTCGCGCATTCCTACGATAATTACCACCGTTTATTACGCTGAATGCACAGTAGCTATCGATGATCCATCTAGACAGAATAGTTGTCTCTGAGTTCGCAGAAAGCAGACCGGTAGATAATTATTTCAGAACTGTCGAGTAAGAAATGTTTGCGAGTTATTTTTATTCATTCGAACGTTACGGTCTCGTGTAACAGGATGATTTTGTAATAATTCGAGCGAGAAAAATTATAAAAAATCCAAGATTTTTCGCGAATTTAATGTCTTCGAATTAATTATCTTGGAAAAAAATCTTTTCGAAGCAGCAAATAATAAAATATTGTTTGCTGCGCAATTTGAATTGAATTTAAATTGAAAAAAACATAGAATTTTGGTTTAGAATTAATTATCTTCGGAAAAATTTTTCAAAGCAGCAAATAATAATGAAATATTGTTTGTTGCGCAATTTGAATTAACCAAGAAAGATCAACAGACTTCGATAATAAAATAAAAATCAAACAAAGAAATGCGCAATAGGAGTCAACACAAGACGTTATGTGTGAAATATATAAAATTTGATACATTGAAACATAAATGATTACATCAGACGTTTCGATCACGCAAAGTGTGTTTGCCAAATTAAATTATTTATTAAATGACAGCGTGCGCCAAATTCAACATTTATTACCTACATATTTATCGTAATAATTTTTATTTTGATGTATTAAATTTCATGTATTTCACACATAACGTCTTGTGTTGACTCCTATCGCCTATTTCTGAATTTGAATTGAATTTAACCAAATGTAGAATTTTAGAATCTCGGCGGAAAAAGATACTCGAAAAACAAGATTCAGATCGAAGTCTAATTATACGAAAAATAAACTAGGTATCTGTCGGCAAGCTTATAATTTTCGTAGAACTTAATTCTTTCTCTCTCTCCGCTTCTCCCTCTCTCTCTCTTTCTCTCTCTGATACTGCGTTTGGATGCGGATGATACGTGCTTTTTACGATTTATTCGATTCTGGATACGCGGCTTCGGCTTGCGACTTCAAATCAACGATCGTAAAACTAGAATCGCGCAGCCGCGAAGAATTCGAGTTCGGGCTTCTGCATATTTATCGGCGTGGCATTAATTAGGAAGAGCTCCCTTTATGATCGGAAACGCATCGATTAAGCGCGGCTCGCCACCTCGGAAAATCAATGATGATAGGAGCCCGCGCGGCTCTGTTATTATGAGCATGTGATCGGTAATAAGACATTCGAGGCGTACAAGACTTGCGGTTTTTTAAAAGAAAAAATGCGTACATGATCGTTTACCTGTCTGCTATAAACAGTACAAGAGCGCAAGTACGTGATGTTAATGAACGTCTTAAAGAGAGGGGCTTTAATGCGACCAGGAATACGGAGTTTCGCGAAGAAAGCGGCGTAAAGTAACAATAATGCCCACGCTGCTATGATTCATAATCGCTGGTCATTAAGTGATTAATGAGATAAAATTATCGGGTATTAAATGATAACGGTTATAACAAAATGATGTAAGTATACGTGATCCGCTAATGTAGCATTTTTTTACGGACCGGCGTACAAGCTTAATTAATGTTAACGCGATTGATCAAAGAGATATAAATTCAAAAAGTTTTTTTTCCGGGGGTAAACGGGATCGCGTGTGCCGTCGGTAATGTTACGGTTTCACTTAGCATGTCGAAGGGATTATTAGAGGGATTGTGGCAATAGGGACACGCGATTACAAAACATTGAACCTGTATATTCTAAGAAAAATAATAAGAAGATGATACAGGGTAGTGGTTAATAACAAGGTAGCAGACGGAATTAAAACAACTCTCGACGCGCTATCTTAATATGCTTCTTTTTGCCATTCTGGCACGTAACATATAATAATAATTGATTGGGAAGTAATTATATTTTAATTACACTTAATCTTGCACTCCGAGAGAAGCGCATTTGCCGTTAATATATTACCACGGTATCATTATTCTTCGTTCTAGTGTCGAGATTTACAGGGAATACCAGTAAAATTGAGCCTCATCGTTTGCCAATTATTTTACATCATTTTGTATTTATTAATGCACGCGTATCTTTTCGAATACTTGTATTCCTTTAGCGATAAGGTGTATTATTTTTTTGTTAAACATTTGACTGTCGGGCGTATTCAAAAGCCCGCGTTGCCGAATGAACGTTCGTGATTTGTTGTTCGACTGTTGGGGGCTGAAGTATGCTAATGCCACGCTATACGAGAGAAGCAAAGAAATGATAAAGACGGCCGGAGAGTTATCTGGCGTGTAACGCAGGTCGCGGTGTCGCGCACAAACATCGATTTTCCGATTGCATCTTACACGCATTTATACTTTCCATTTTTACGGGCCGGATCTTGTGCTATATTACCGTCGCGCGAAGATTAATTATCCCGGAACGTGTGCGCGGGTTTACGACGCCGTCGCGATACGAACCGAGCGCGACATAGTGCTTGCGACTCGCGACAAGAGGCCTCATAAGCTGACAGACCGATGGTCTTATCTGAGCGTATAATTTCATCGCATTGCCGCGCAAAAGAAAAATCGCGAGCCTACGTACGGTAATGTTTCCGCGAAGCGC